ATTTAAAAAATGTATAACTGATATTGTGTAACAGGAAGAAAAGGTCTAAAAGAGCAGGGGAATTGGGAGGGGTAGGGGAAGGGAAAAAGGGAAAGGAAAACATATGAGAAGAGGAAAAAAATGGAAACAAGGTCTTTGCAAATAGGGAAGGGTGGAGGTGGTGAAGAGAGGGCAAGGGAAGGGGAAAAAAAATAAGAACCAAGATACTCATGTAATGGTACAAGATCCCTGTGATGAATGTAACTGTATTCTATACCTAAAATGAATAAAGTTAATGGGGAAAAAAATTATTAAGGAGTTCCAGGAGATAAAGGAACAACAGTTTTGACAGAACTACCTGGGTTTTGGTAAGGAGAGTTTTGGAGTTGGGTTAGGGAGGAATGAAGTAGGGCTGGATTCAGAGATAATGGCCCATCCTATAGTAGTGGGGATAGAGAGATGTGATGGGCTTAAGAATTCTCTTAAGTTGATTTGGTGAGTGAAATTTTGGGGTGTGTGTAAGTTACAGTTAATAAGATTGGCTGTAAATTGCATATTTGTGAAGGTGGGTAATAGGTCCATTAGGGTCTTATTGTTATTCTTTATATAGTTTGATACTTCCCTATAGTAAAAAGTGAAAAACAGAAAGGTCTTTGGGCTTTCCTGAACATCAAGATATAGGTTATGATTTACATTTGAATAAAGCATTGCATTTCACAAAACCATTTTACAGGCCGGATCCCTTTTGGTCTAGGAGAAGGAAAGAGGTACAGGACAAGTATCATTTTTTAGGCACTAAAAAGGCTATAACCAACATCTACCATCTGTCAGGTAATTTTAAAGCATTCCACTTAATCCTCATAAGATTTACTAGGTGATTCAAATGTACCTGTGGTTGAGAACCCCTGACTATGAAGAATGTATGAGGAACAAGAGAGGCACAGAAGCTACCAGTTAAGAGCCAGTGGGGTTTATTAAATAGGACTTCCTGAAAGGGTGGGATGATATTATTTATTATTACTTTATGCATTCACATACCTGAAGTCACCTCCAGTTGGTTTAAAATTGCATTCTTCAGAACCCAGCCCTGTTTTGGGTTGTTTGCAGGCCAAGCATCTAAAATATCCAATGCTGTCTTGTCTGGAGCCCATTAGGTAAATCATTTCACCACAAGAGCAGAATTTTTCAGACATTTCAAGGTTGGCCTTAGACCTCTGGCCTCAAATACACAACAAGCACTTCCAACCTAACATAGCCAGGAATGAATTCAGTATTCTCCTCATCCTCCAATCTGAATCTCTTCTGTATCACCCATCTTCTGTCCTGTCACCTTTTCTGGGAACCTAGGAGTCCTCCCAGAGGATAACTCCACCCTCCCTTCTCATCTAGCCAGTCTCAATTCTCTCAATTCCCTGAGACTGTCTCTACTCAGAATGCTCTGACTTTATCAGATGCAACTTAGACCTTCCTCTTTTCTTCCCCCCAAACACACCTTCTACCTGTCTCCCTGTTGTGCCTTCAGGTCACCTTCTTGAAATTCATCCTTCATGTGGTACCGTGAATATAGCTGAAAACTATGCCTATCAATACCTTTT